CCTGGTGTCTACTCCTCCTGGGGGAGTTTACTTCTTTGTGTTCTGGAGCTTTCAGCTGTGCTGTTATTTCTCTAGTATAACTATTCTGCAGTTTTTTTACGTGGGCACTTAGTGCTATGAACTTCCCCCGTAGCACTGCTTTCAAAGTGTCCCATAGGTTTGGGTATGTTGTGTCTTCATTCTCATTGAATTCTAGGAAGTCTTTAATTTCTTTTTTTATTTCTTCTTCGATCCAGGAATGGTGCAGTTGTGCATTATTCAATTTCCATGAGTTTGTAGGTTTTCTGCAATTTGTGTTGTTGTTGAATTCTAATTTTAACGCATGGTCATCTGATAAGATGCATGGAGTTATTCCAATTTTTTTGTAGCTGCTGAGGTTTGATATGTTGCCAAGTATGTGGTCGATTTTTGAGAAGGTTCCATGTGGTTCTGAGAAGAAGGTATATTCTTTTTTATGTGGGTGAAATGTTCTTCAGATGTCTGTTAATCCCAGTTGGGTCATTACTTCTATTAGACCCTTTGCTTCTTTGTTGAGTTTCTGTCTGGTATTCCTGTCCAGTGCTGAGAGTGGGGTGTTGAAATCTCCCACTATAACTGTGTGGGGCTTTATATGTGATTTAAGGTTTAGTAATGTTTCTTTTAGGAATGTGGATGCCTTTTTATTTGGGGCATAGATGTTCAGGATAGACACTTCACCTTGGCAGATTTCTCCTGTGATGAGTATGTAATGACCTCCTTCATCTCTTTTGATTGATTTTATTTTAAAGTCTAATTTGTTAGATATTAGGATTGCTACCCCTGCTTGTTTCTTGGGTCCATTTGATTGGAAAATCTTTTCCCAACCTTTAACTCTCAGATAATGTCTGTCTTTGAGGGTGAAGTGTGTTTCTTGTATGCAGCGGAAGGATGGGTTCTGTCTTCGAATCCATGCTGTTAGCCTGTGTCTTTTTTGTTCTTGTTGTTTTATGAGATAGGGTTTCTCCGTATTGTTTTGGAGGCTGTTGCTCCAGTCCGGCCTCGTACTCACAGAGATCTTCCTGCCTCTGCCTCCCAAGTGCTGGGATTAAAGGCGTGTGCCACCACCGCCCGGCAGCCTTTTTATGGGTGAGTTAAGGCCATTAATATTGAGGGATAGTAATGACCATTGATTACTCATTCTTCTTTGATTTGGAATGGTTGTTGTTGGTGCAATTATGTGTGGAATTCCACCCCTTTTTTCTTTTGGCTGCTGGTAAAGTGGGATTATCTAATGCCTATGTTTTTCTGGATGTAGTTAACTTCCTTGTGTTGGAGTTTCTTTCCAGAACTTTCTGTAGGGCTGTAACCTGCATTTCTTATCTCTGCTTTGCTATGTGTCTTGGCACCTTTTCTCAGTATACCATGTCTATTTGCTTCTCTCTGCATCTGCTCGCAACTCAGGACTTTGCCCTTTCTCTTCCCATCATTCTTTTTGTGCTAGGATATCTTGACCAATTTTATCTTGCTCAATCTCTTTCCGCCCAGCTATTAGCCAATCAGCTTTTTATTAACAATGAGAACAACAAATATTTGCAGTGTACAAAGATTGTTCTACAGCACCCCTCCTCCCCGATTTTCTAATTTACTAATTAACATAGTATCAAGTAAGAATTGCAGTTAAAATATACAGTCCAATTGTATTTGGCAAAATTAGAGAAAAACTCTATTATCTGTCTTATCTTTTCTGATTCTAAAGTTTTATAGCTAATTTATCTTTTATCAAAACTAAGGAAAACTATAAGTTTAACTATTTGGTCTTTAATTCAATTAAAGACTCCAGAAGGGTGAAATGTTGCTTAATTACAGGAATGTCTGGATGCCTGGACAGTGAACCTAAGTTCTTCTGTAATGTTGGGTCATTCAGCTGTGACCTACAGGCCTGTTGTGTCTGACAGACAGAAAGCAGGAAGTTTTGAAGTATTATCCTATCTTGTCTTGGCAAAGATTGTCAGTTGTTTTCTTTTGTTCTTGCCTATCCAGTTTGGACAGTATAGTGTCAGTAATTGAGGAAGGGCAGTTTTCTGCCCAAGTGGTTAGTTTTGCCATAAAGAAAAACCCCACATGGAGATTCTTTGATGTCCATTATCGTCTTGTGAAGTAAATTGGTGCTGTTAGGAGCAGATGCGTCTCACTGTCATGAAAAGCTGTAGTTTCTTAAGCATGTTAAACGCCATATTCTGTAGGTCTTTGAAATATTTGAAGACCATTTATCTACCTAAATACATCTGTGTATGGACTTGAACACATACCTAACATGACTGTACTTTTGACTGTTACAGATTACTGACTACTAACCTATATTTTTTCTTTCTTCCTTTTTTTTTTGAGACATGGGTTCTCTGTGTAACCACTGTGGCTGTCCTGGAACCCGCTTTGTAGACCAGACTTGTCTTCAACTAAAGGAGATCCACCTGCCTCTGCCTGCCAAATTCTGGGATTAAAGGTGTGTGCCACAAATGCAGGTTAACCTTTGTTTCTTAATTATAAATTATATATTTTTATTTTAAAAATTTAGTTTTCATTTTACTAACCAACTCTAGTTCCCCTCCTTCCCTTCTCTCACCCCTGGCTTCCCCCTTTTCACCCCCATCCACTCCTCAGAAGGGGTAAGGCTTTCCTTGTCTAGTCAACAAAGTCTGGCATCCCAAGTTGAGGAAGGATCAAGACACTCTCACCTGTATCAAGGCTGAGCAAGGTATCCCATCAAAGGTAATGGGCTCTAAAAGTTAGTTCATGCCACTGGGACAGGTCCCAGTGCCACTGTCAGTCCCCCAAAACATTTGAAGTAACATAACTGTCACCTACATTCAGAGGGTCTAGTTTGGTCCCATGGTCCATTGACCATGAATTCTCTCTAGCTTGGGTCAGCTGTCTCTCTGGTTTTCCCCCTCATGTTGTTGGTCCCCCTTTGTTCATATGATCCCTCCTCCCTCTCTACAACTGAACTCCAGGATCTCATCCCAGTGTTTGGCTGTGGGTCACTGCATCTGTTTCCATCAGTTACTGGATGTAGGTTCTATGAAGACAAGTAGGGTAGTCACTAATCTGATTAAAGGGGAAGGCCCATTCAGACACCCTCTCCATTATTGCTAGGAGTCTTAGCTGGAGTAATCCTTGTGGATTCCTGAGAATTTCTCTAGCACCAGGGTTCTCCCTAATTCCATAATAGCTCTCTCTTTCAAGATATCACTTCCATTGCTCTCCCCCTCTTTCCCTCCCACAACTTGATCTTGATCCCTCATGTTCCCATCCTCCATCTCCTCCCTTCTATTCCCCTCCCAGTTTACCCAGTAGATCTTAACTATTTTCCCTTCCTGTGTAACCCCCTTTTTTTAACCTAGTTTCTCTGTGGTTGTGGCTTGTAGCCTGCCTGGTTAACCTTCTTTTTTCATCTAATACCCACTTATGAGTGAGCACACACTGTATTTGTCTTTCTGGGTGTAGGTTACCTCACTCAAGACTTTTTTTTCTAGTTCAATCCATTTGCCTGCAAATTTCAGGATGTATTTTTTTTGTTAAATCTCTGTGTAGTACTCCATTGTGTAAATGTGCCACATTTTCTTTATCTATTCTTCTATTGATGGACATCTAGGTTATTTCCAGATTCTGGCTATTACAAATAATTCTGCTATAAACACAGTTGAGCAAATGTCCTTATGGTGTGAGTCTGTGTATCCTTTGGATATATGCTCAAAAGCGTCATTGCTGCGTCTTTAGGTAGATTGAGTCCCAGTTTCCTGAGAAACTACCATATTGATTTCCAAAGTGACTGAACAAGTTTGGGCTCCCACTCCACCAGGAATGGAGGAGTGTTCTCCTTACTCCACATCCTCTCCAGTCATCAGTGTTTTTGATCTTAGTCATTCTGACAGGAGTAAGATGGTATCTCAGAGTCATTTTGAGTTTTATTTCCCTGGTGACTAAGGATGTTTGGCAATTCCTTAAATCTCTTCCTGACATTTGAGTTTCTTCTGGTGAGAATTATCTGTTTAGATCTGTACCCCATTTTTTAAAAATTGGATTATTTGGTATTTTTGTATCTAGTTTCTTGAATTGTTTAATATATATTTTGGAGATCAGTCTTATGTCAGATGTGGGGTTGGTGAAGATCTTTTCCCATTCTGTAAAGAGCCATTTTGTTTTATTGACCATATCCTTTGCCTTACAGAAGGTTTTAAGTTTCATGAGGTTCTGTTTATTCATTGTTGCTCTCAGAGTCTGTGCTACTAGTGCTATATTTAGGAAGTGGTCTCCTGTGCCAAAGTATTCAAGGCTATTTCCCACTTTCTCTTTTATCAGGTTCAGTGTACCTGGATTTATGCTGATGTTTTTGATTCACTTGACTTGAGTTTTGTCCATGGAGACTGATATGGATTTATTTGTATTTTTCTACATGATCTCATCCTTTTCCCATTGTACAATTTTGGCTTCCTTGTCAAAAATCAGATGTTCCTAGGTATGTGGGTTAGTATCAGGGTCACCTCAGCCAAGGAGGAGAGGGAGTTTTTTAGGTAAATAATGGAATTTTTTCTGTTGTATAAGAGCCATGGTTTCTGTTCCTATATCTGCAGCTAAGCCTGTGCCTACTAGGAGGCTGAGGGTGAGTGCAGTTATGGGCTCTCTTTTAGCTTTTTCCTCTGTATGACTGATGAGTCTGGGAAGCAATCGGATGAGTATACAGAGCCCTTAGTCTCTTTGACTTTATTTATTTATTTATTTATTTATTTATTTATTTATTTTTGGATTTTCCAAGACAGGGTTTCTCTGTGTCTTGGGAGGTTGTCCTGGAACTCACTCTGTAGACCAGGCTGGCCTGGATCTCACAGAGATTCACCTGCCTCTGCCTCCAGAGTTTTGGAATTAAAAGCGTGTGCCACCAACACCTGGATTTTTAATGCATTTTTTAAAGATTTATTTATTATGTATATAGTATTCTGCCTGCATGTGTGGCTGTACACCAGAAGAAGGCACCAGATCTCATTACAGATGGCTGTGAGCCATGATGTGGTTGCTGGGAATTGAACTCATGACCTCTGGAAGAACAGCCTTTGAGCCATCTCTCCAGCCCTCTTTGATTATTTTTGTGTGTTCGCAGGGCGCACCAAGTGTCATTGTGGGGGATCAAGCATCCCTCAGAGTTAACAGTGGGGTCAGTTTGATTACAGAGTTGGGGTGGGGAGGCGGGATGGAACCTGCACAGGTCCCTTGTCCGGATACTTGCTGTAAAGTTAAAGAGGCTTTGAAGTCCCAGCAGAATTGGTCAGAATTTTTCTAGTTGAGGTTTCATAGAGTTGCCAGGTCAGGTTTTGTGGGACATGAGGATTTGTGTTAGCAGCCATGGTGTATCAGGAGGAAGAGTTGTGTTGTTGAAGAAGGTGCAGCTTGAGTGGGTTGTTTGGGTGTTTGGACAGCTTCCATTTTTTTTCCTTGTAGTCCTCCGATATGACCAAGGGGTCTGCAGGTCAGGCGTGGGGGTAGTGGACCCATGTGGCGATCCCATCTATTTTGATGGTTCTGGGGGTGGTAACAGACCCTAAGAGCCATCAGCTGACGGATTTCCCTAGGGGAGTGACATTCACATTTGTTGTTATATTTTTTCCTATGTAAGGGAGTTTTCTTTTGACTTAACATCTCAGCCAGGGAAAGGGGGTGATGTATTCTTTTCTGTGATACATCCTACTGACTTTGGGATGTTGTCAGGGGCCCAATGAAATGCTAGTCAAAAGCAACGAGGGAATTCAGGCAATGGGGCATCTTTCAAAGTATCTGGTTTGCAGATTCTGTTGAAGAGACAGGGAGTGTTCACATTGGCTAGACCCATTCACATCAGCAGCAAGTCCAGAACTCACAGTCTCCAGGAGTATGTTGTAGTCAGCACCTGATGCTCGGATGTGTCTGCCAGAAACAGAAACCGGTTTCAGATGAGTTTAAACTGGGAACAGAAGTTAAAACTTATGTACTCAATCAGAACTCTTAGGTCCAAAGTTTTAGTGATCAAGAAGGGCAGGACTTCCAAGATCACGGGAGAAAATCCTGTCCTCAGGAACAGACAGGTGGGACGATAAAAGCTGTACTTTTCTGGAGTCCTTTTGACCTGAGAGAAGTGGATCCAAGCTTTATGATCATTGATCCTCTGAAGCCTATATGAACTCTATTATACAAAAGGACATAAAGGTTTCAGACATATTAGCATTAACAATCTGTACTGAAATTCACATTGTAGAAAAAGCAGATACCTTTGAGTCCTAGCAAAAACTACAGGTTTGGGTTAGAAGCTTGTACATTTTTCTTCTGACCAGTGAGCCAGGTATGGATTGGGCAGAGGTGACTTTGTTGTTGTTTTAAACTGGCAAAGCTAGCAGTCATCAAAGTGTCAGAGTTCTTGAGAAGGATAACATTTTACCTGAGTTACTGACTAATGAATAACAGAGATTTATTGGCTGACTGTATGGACAGCCACCTCTGGAATCAGAGTCCTCCATAGTTGTTGAAGGCAGAGGCTGTTAAGGACATCTGCCTTCTGCTAATAGCATGGGACCTGTAGATTAATTAGGAGCTTTAGAAGGACTTGCCTACCATTAGCCCAAGAAATGGGGAGGAAGTCAATTCCACTGTTCTCTTGTCCACGGTCTGAAAAGTCCCTTGAAGCAGGTGAGGTGAAAGCCAGGCTTGCTCAGTGGCTAGCATTGTCATTTTTGTGGGTGGAATTTTCATCAGTCTTTTTGGAGGAAATGGGGTGGTGCCTGAATTTGGCCCATCTCTCTGTAATGAAAATTTTTTAAAACTAAAACATGTTAAATGCCATATTCTCTAGATCTCTGAGTAGTTGAGGGCTGCCTATTTAGTATATCTTAGCAGACAAAATTTGTCTTTAATTACTTATCTTAAGCACACAGGTGGCTAGGTAAGGCTTTATTCCTGTAATTAATTAATCTGAACTTAGTGTGGCTACAATGATGTTAGTGCGGGATCTGTCTGGAGAACTGGATTTAAACAGAGAGGTTGTGGTGGGATGTTTTATTTAGAGACCTCCAGTCTGATTGTAACTGGTTTTAACTTAGCAAACAGACAGGACATTTAAAGAGACAGAGTGACTTATAACTGTCAGTGACAAGAATGTAGATCCCCTGCAGATGGAACAGGCAGGATTTTTGTGTGAAATGGGTGCCCTACTGGTCCCTGGAAAGGCACGACATCCTGTAAACAAGTCGTGTGGAACAGAGCCAGTGAAAGAAGAAAACTGCCAGTGACAGAAATAAAAGGCAAAAAGGTGAAGGAATTATGTCTGGCAGCAGAGTTTAAGTTTAACTTTTGAAAACATAAAGTAAACCAATTGTCACCTAGGTTACTGTTAAATTTATGTTCCTGATAATCTGAATTTAATGACCAGAGCGCAGAGATAAATTTTAATCTATGTCTGTAAATGACTGACTGCTGTTAGCATTAGACAGCAAAAATATCTAAACCATTTTTGTTTGAGCTCTATGCTAGTAACAAAATTTATGATTACACCAGAAACGGAGATAAAACTTTTTAACAAAACAGTATATACAATTTTCTGAAAAATAAACAAAGCTTTCAAACCAGAATTAACCTAATATAGTTAAAATTTTAATTTACGTACCAATTTTTAGGTATGAGAAACCACAGTAAATATAGTTCATTTTTATATCTTACCCCCTTTTTATCTTAATTAATAATATTGTACCAATTTTTTAAAAATAACAAGTAAGTGTAACCTATTAAATTTAAATAACTAAAACCCATATTTTTTCTTTTCCTGTGAAAACAAAACCATTAAAAAATAGGGTGGGGAGGCACAAATCAAAAATAGGAGTCTCTTGTCAGGCCAATGGCACAGATTACTGTTTTGCATTCAAAAGTCTACAGATGGATTTGACCCAAAACTTGTTTTTATGTGTTTTACTTGAATTGGTTTCCATCATTGAGGTCTACATCCAGGTCCACATGTCTTTTGTCATTGATTGGCCGTGCATAAAGAGCTAATAAAATGTACTTATTTCTCCCTGGCACAAGTTATGTGAAAAATTCAAGCAACTATATGTCTGATAGAGGACCTACACGAAACTCAGCAGTGACAAGAACAAATGAGTCAAGTAGAAAATGGGCAAAAGCCAGGAACAGACATTTCATTAGATGGCAAATGGCTAGCACACAAAACGATGGTCAGCATCATATTAACCCATTAAAACCTGTGCCTTGACCATTCTGCTTGAGTTGGCTGCTAACATCCCAAGGCAAGGCACAGCATAGAAAGACTGTGTCCAGGCACCAGGACCCAGCAGGGGAGTATTGGCCAGCAGCCAGCAGCCAGACTATAACCTCCCTGCCTGGAGCCGATGCAGCAGAAAATTTTATGTTTTTATAAGGGGGATTCTGTCCTGAGTAACCCATTTGTCCTTTTTTGATGTTAACACTGTTACTATGGGTAGCCGCTCTAACATTGCCTCAGTGGGCCAAAGTCAAGTCAAGGGTTGAGGATGGAGATTGCATCCCTGTTAGGTCCATATTGTCAGTATCATTCAGACAAGACAAGACAAGACAAGACAAGACAAGCAAACACAGCACTTAGACAAGACAAAAAAGAAACAACTCAAGAGTCAAACAGAAGAGCCCAAAACAGAGTATCAGATTTCTGCGGAATCCACAGGGTCGATTTTTGCCAAGCTCAACCAAACCAAAATCTGTACAGAATGGACAAGACCCACCAGGGGCTTGTTGTTCTCAATAATTTCCTTCCAAACAGACAGGATCCAAAGACACTGATGGGATGGCCCCACATGGTCCCCCATCCAGACAAGGAAGGTGATGTCTCCCAATTCCTCCTGGTCTACCTAATAGCATGTCCGCCTAGGTATATATGACTCGTGTAGACATTAATTCAGATACTAGCCAGAAGAATTCAGATGCTGGCCAGAAGGAGGACAGAGAACAGAGAGAACAGAAAAGAGAGGATCCAACTTACCTAGCTGAATGCTGAAAACCTTTGAGGTCTGGGGTCCAGAGGAGGGTCTCTGGAGTTCCTGGACAATGCAAAAAAATGTTGTGCCTAAGTCTCGAAGACTCCCAGAGACTACCAAGAAGACATTTCACCAAACTGCAAAAGCAAGGCTTTATTGTTTAATCCTACCAGTAGGGACTCTATCTAGCAAGCTGACACAGCAGCTGCCTGGAGGAAGCCAAGTCCCTTGTCTATTGCCAGAATTTAAAGGAAAGAAAATCACAGAATTACATCAATAGGTATGAGTCTGTTCCTGATTGGGGAACAATTAGGGGAAATTCCCTGAGTCAGGTCAATGGGTTTGTTAGTATTTTGATTGTCTGGTTACAGATGGGAGCGTTAGTGGTTTCTATGACTTTGCTATTTGCAGGTAGACTGTTCTCATTGGTTGGTGCTAAGAGGGAGCATTCTGTGGTTTCCCTATCTCTTGGAGATAGTTTATTGTCAAACACAGTTTCCAGAAAGGTTTTTCTGGAGTTTTGCTCACAACACAAGAACTAGAGGCTAGGTGACTGGATTTGTTTTGAAGGCTTTTCCACAACTTTTACATTTATATAGTTTCTCTCTAGTATGAATAATAAGAGTTGAATGGGAACTTAAGGCTTTGCCACATTTATATAATTTCTCCCCAGTGTGATTTATTAGAATTGAAACCTCTGAGTTTAGTTTACCTCTTTTAGTATGACCTAATGATTCTCTGAATTTCCTAAATGTCTGCTGTTATGTTCCCCCTTCCATTTCTAATTTTATTAATTTGGATATTCTCTCTCTGCCTTTGGTTATTTTGGATAAGGGTTTGTCTATCTTGTTGACTTTTTTCTCAAAGAACCAATTCTTTGTTTCATTGATTCTTTGTATTATTCTCTTTGTTTCTTTCTTATTGATTTCAGCCCTTAGTTTGATTATTTCCTGTCCTCTATGCCTCCAGGGTGAGTTTGTTTCTGTGTTTAGTAGAGCTTTCAGGTATGCTGTTAAGTTGCTAGTGGGAGATTTCTCCACTATCTTTTTTTGTTGTTTGTTTGTTTTGTTGTTTGTTTCTCTGTTGCTTTGGAGGCTGTCCTGGAACTCACTATGTAGACCAGGCTGGCCTCGAACTCACAGAGATCCTCCTGCCTCTGCCTCCGGAGTGCTGGGATTAAAGGCATGCGCCACCACTGCCTGGCACACTGTCTTTATGTAGGCATTTAGTGCTTAAACTTTACTTTTAGCATTGCTTTCATAGTGTCACATAAGTTTGGATATGTTACGCTTTCATTTTTTGTTGAATTATAGGAAGTCTTTAATTTCTTTCTTATTTCTTCCTTGACCTACTGATGATCCAGTTGAGCATTGTTCAATTTCCATGAGTTTGTAGGTTTTTGGCAATTAGTGTTGCTGTTGAATTGTAACTTTAAGCCATGGTGATCTGATAAGATACAGGGGGTTATTCCAAGTTTTTTGTATCTCTTGAGATTTGTTTTGTTACTGAGTATGTGGTGAATTTTAGAGAAGGTTCCATGAGGTGCTGAGAAGAAGGTATATTCTTTTGTGTTTGGGTGGAATGTTCTATAGATGTCTGGTAAGTTCATGTGAGTTCCTTATTTCTCTGTTAACTTTCTGTCTGGCAGACATGTCCAGTGGTGAGCATGGGGTGTTGGAGTCCCCCATATTAGTGTGTGGGGTTTGATGTATGATTTAAACTTTAGTAATTTTTTTAACAAATGTGGGTGCCCTTGTGTTTGGGGAATTGATGTTTAAAATTGAGACGTCATCTTGATGAATTTTCCTTGTGAGGAATATCAAATGTCCTTTTCTTTATTTCTTTTGATTGATTTTAATTTGAAGTCTATTTTGTTAGTTATTAGGATAGCTATACATGCTTGTTCCTTAGGCACATTCAATTGGAAAATCTTTTCCCAACTCTACTCTGAGGTAATATCTGTCTTTGAGGTTGAGGTGTGTTTCTTGTATGCATCAGGAGGATGGGTCCTGTTTTTGTATCCATCCTGTTAGTCTTCGTCTTTTTATAGTTGAATTGAGACCATTCATACTAAGAGATATTAGTGACCAGTGATTGTTAATTCCTATTATATTTTGTTTTGTTGTTAATGATGATAGCGTGTGTGTGTGTTTCTCTTCTTTGAGGTTTGCTCATGTGAGATTATCTATTGCCTGTGATTTTATGCATATAGCAAGCTTCTTTGGGCTGGAATTTTCCTTCTAGTACTTACTGTAGGGATGGATTTGTAGATAGGTATTGTTTAATCTGGTTTTGTCATGGAATATCTTGTTTTCTCCATCTATAGTGATTGAAAGTTTTGCATGGTATACTAGTCTGGGCTGGCATCCATGGTCTCTTAGTGTCTGCAGAATGTCTGTCCAGGCCCTTCCAGCTTTAAAAGTCTCATTGAGAAGTCTGGTGTAATTGTGACATGTCAGCCTTTATATGTTACTTGGCCTTTTCACTTTGCAGTGCTTAGTTTTCTTTATTCTGTATGTTTGGCATTTTGATTATTATATGGCAAGGGAAGGAAACTTTTTTGGGGTAGGGGAAATTCAGTCTATTTGGTGTTCTGTAAGCTTCTTATACTTTCATAGGCATATCCTCCTTTAGGTTGGGAAAGTTTTCATTTATGACTTTGTTGAATATATTTTCTGTGACTTTGACCTGGAATTCTTCTTCTATCTCTATTATCCTTAGGGTTGGTCTTTTCATGATGGCCCATATTTCCTGGATGTTTTGTGTTGAGAATTTGTTGGATTTAACATTTTTTTGACTGATGAGTCTGTTTCCTCTATTGTATTTTCTACGCTTGAGATTCTCTCTTCCATCTCTTGCATTCGGTTGGTTATGCTTGCATCTGTAGTTCCTGTTGATTTACCCAGATTTTCCATTTCTAGAATTCCCTCAGTTTGTGTTTTCTTTATTGCCTCTATTTCAGTTTTCAAGTCCTAGATTTATTTGATTGTTTTTTCTTGGTTTTCTTGGCTTTTTAAGGGATTAAAAAAATTATTCCAACTCTTTGTCTTTTTCTCCATTTCTTTTTTATTTTTTTAATTATGAAGCTGTTGGCTGTTTGCTATGGTTTCTAATTGGCTAGCTCTAACTTAATTATTAGCCCATAATTGCTAATATATATTTTATAAGGACTTATCTTTCTGAGGATGTCATCTCAACATGTCCTGTCATCCCACAATCACATTGCAACTCTCCACCCTTTATTTTATTTCCCAGAATCCTCCTTAACTCCTACTCCCACCTATCTTGTTTCCCTGTTGGCCAATAGTGCTTTATTTACATGCACACAGAAGGACTTTCCTAATCATCTCCTCTTTTCTTCCTAAATCAAAATAAAGGTTTTAACTTTAACATAGTAAAATATATAACAAGGCAGTTATTAAGCAAAAACTATAAATACAGCATTTAGTCCATTAACATTTAGCAAGATTTAAAGAAAATATCATCTATCCTATCTTTGTGAGTCTAAAGGCTTATATGCAACTTATCTTTAATCCTAACTTAGGAAAACCATAATTATAACTAGCTGTCTTTAACTCCATCAAAGACCACAGAAGGATAATATGTAAAATCTAGAATTGACAGAGACATCTTACTACCTGGACAGTCACCCGAAGTTCCTCGGTAATGTTGGGTCATCCATCTTCAGCCCATAGGCCACATTGTGTCTGCCAGACTTCTCAGAAAGCAGGAAATTTTAAACTGTCCATATGCCTTGGCAGTTTGTCAGTCATTTTTCTTTATCCTGCAGAATGTCTGGCAGAACTGTTCCATTTCCTCCATTTCTTAATGGATTTTTTATTTCTTCTTTCCCCCTCCCCCTGTGCTCCCAATTTACTCAGGACATCTTGTTCCTTCCCCCTTCTCAGGGAGTCCATGTATGTCTCTTTTAGGGTCCTCCTTATTTTCTAGCTTCTCTGGGGTTGTGGACTGTAGGCTGTTTATACTTTGCTGTATGTCTAAAATCCAATTATGAGTGAGTACATACCATGTTTGTCTTTCTGTGACTGGGTTACTTCACTCAGGATGGTTTCTTCTAGTGCCCACAAATTTCAAGATTTCATTGTGTGTTGTTCCCCCCATCCCACTTAGTAGTACTCCATTGTGTAAATGTACTACATTTTCTTTATCCATTGTTCGGTTGAGGGGCATCTAGGTTGCTTCCAGGTTCTGGTTATTATAAACAATGCTGCTATGAGCAGAGCTGAAGAGATGTCCTTGTGGTATAAATGTACATCCTTTGGATATGTGCATAAGAGTGGAATTTCTGGGTCTTAAGGTAGATTGATTCCTGTTTTCCTGAGAAACTCCCATACTGATTTCCAAAGTGGCAGCATAAGTTTGCACTCCCACCAGTAGTGGAGGAGTGTTCCCCTTTCTTCACATCCTCTCCAGCATAGACTGTCACTGGTGTTTTTGATTTTAGCCATTCTGACTGGAGTGAGATGGTATCTCGGAGTTATTTTGATTTGCATTTCCCTAATGGCTAAGGATACTTTCTTAAATGCCTTTTGAGACATTCTCCATTGAGAATTCTCTATTTAGACCTGTACCCCATTTTTCCCATATTTTTTATTTAACTTTTTATGCATGTCACTTTCAGTTCCCACTCCCTCCTCTCTTCCCCCACCCCCCCAATCCTCCCAACCCCTCACCTCCACTTCATCTCCCCTCCACTCCCCAGGGAGGGCAAGGGCCTCCATGAGGGATTTCCAGAGTCCTTCACATCATCCCAGGAATGGCCCAGGTTCTTTCCCATGCGTCCAGGCTGAGAGAGCATCCCTCCCCGTGGCATGGGCTCCCAGAGTCCCTCTGTATGCCAGGAATAAATACTGCTCCACTCTTCAAGGTCCCACAGATTGCCAAGGCCTCCTCTCTGTCACCCAGGTTCGGTGGGAGGATGTCTGGATCAGTCCCATGCTGTCCCCGCAATCATCAGTCTGGGGTCCATGCGATGCTCCTTATTTAGGTCAGCTGCCTCTGTGAGCCTCGCCAGCCCGATCCCAATTCCCTTGGTCATCACTCCTCTTTACAAATGGGTTCCTGGAGTTCAATTCGGTTCACAGCTGTGGGTGTCTGCCTCCATCTCCAACAGCCACTGGATGAGAGTTCTAGGATGGCATATAAGGCAGTCATCATTCTCACTATCATGGGAGGGCATTTTAAGTAGCCTTAATGCCAGTTGGTGTCATTCCTGTAGATCTGT